TATATTCTTATTTTTTTTTGTTGTATTTTTGTATTTGTATAGGTGAAACTGTGCTTTGTGTATGTTTAAATGTGTATTCCGTTTTTGGCTTTTGTGTATAGTGTAATTTTTTTGCATATTGTTTAGTAAGTAGCTGTAGGAATACCGTTAAGAAAATAAATTAATATAAACAAACACCAAACCAGTGATGGGCTGAAGTCTTTACATAATATAACATCTCAAAATACATTAATAGTATATGATACAAAAGTTATATGAGGATTTATATTAATAAACAAATTATTCACATTATTCAAACCCATATTATCCAGCAGATCAAGCGATGCAAGTGGAAATGGATAGGCCATTCACTCCGAAGGGATCCCAATCATATTCCCAAGCAGGCGCTTGATTGGAACCCGCAAGGAAAGCGGAAGCGTGGCTGTCCCAGGCAAACCTGGCGCCGTACAGTTGCAGATGAGGCAAAGAGAGCCGGAAAGACTTGGAGCGAGGTGAAATATGAGGCTCAAGAGCGAACGCGATGGATACTCACTTTGGACGCCCTCTGCCCCATGTTATAGGAAATTAAGTCAAGTCATGTGACATATGACTTAAGCGAGTAATACTATATATGGACGTATATAGGGACGACTTTACAGCTAGGCACATTTAATATGAATGAAAACATCTTTGTATGTATTTGTTGGCTGAAGAAATAAAGAAATCAATTTGTATTTGCTATGAAAGTATTTCATATGATGGATGAATCAAAATCAGTTATGGCAAACAAGTATTCAAACGTCAAATTATAATAGAAACATTGTATCATATTTATTTCCAACAAACAAATATATAGTATTTACAATATTCTTAATCTACATAGTATAATAATAATCAAAAATATAATTATTTATAACTAGTAGACTCGGCCAAGCGTTGCTGTGGCTAAGATTTTTGTTATATTACATAGTAGTAAACTATTCAAGAGAAACGGCAGGAGAACACCAATCCACCATGCTTTTTTGATGGTTATGCCATTAAATTGTAACTTGGTAAACAAACACTTGGTATTTACTTTAATAAGGATCAATACCTAGGTACGAATAAAGAGCCTTTTCTGGCGGTGGTATTTTAATAAAACAATAACAATAAAAGGACGCTTATTGTGACGTAACTATAAAAGATAGAGACATGCTGTCGCGACATTTTTTATAGATAGTGATGTGTCCTGAAAAATTTTAATGAATCATTTTGTTCTATCATTAATAGTTTTCGCAGAGCACGCGATTGAAGGAAAATGAAACATAGCCTATGTCACTCGGGAATAGTGTAGCTTGCCAACGGTGAAAGAATTTTTTAAATCAGTCCAGTAGTTTCGGAGCCTATGCATTTCAAACAAACAAAAAATCAAACCTTTCCTCTTTTTAATATTAGTATAGATTAAAACAAATTTAAATAGTTTGGTCCCTGTGGCAGTGTACCTTTAACATTTCCTCGGTGTATTGCAATACTAATTCGTTGAGCGAGGAAAGCATTGGGGTCACCAGTACTATCTACCAGGCGGCAACTTAAATAATTAATTAGCGCCTGTGCACTTGAACACCACGGCCCAAGAGTCTCCAAAGAGAACGAAATCGAAGATAGACTCTATAAACATTCAGATTATTTCAAATGTGATTCAGTATGATAAAACCTTATCGTCTCGTGATTAAACATCTAATAACCTTTACTTTAGATAGTACTGTACGGCTTAATTATTAATTGCCGCGTAGTTGATGGAAATGCTTGCACACTATCTGTCTAAATACACCACAATCAATTTTGAAAAGACTTATTATTAATACTTATTATTAATCAGATGCCTCAAATTGCGTCACATGTCAAATTAAATTGTATTGTAATATCACCTGAATAAATAACAATAGTAATAATAATGTATTGCTTATTCAAATAAAATCAATTGTATCTTACTATCCATTTAAATTTAATTTGATTTAACTATTTATGGTTTATATTGTCTACAACAGTTTGTCGAAATTTAAATCCGATATTATAAAATTACGCGTTATTTTCATTGTACGTTTTGTACCAATGTAATATTTGATAAATGAGTTTAGGAGTAACTAACCATCATTAAAGTCCAGTACTCTGCTCAGTAAAAGATTACAAACCTAACTTTGTATATTTTATTCTCACTTGACACGATTTCTTTCAAAGGCTTGTCGTCAATATTAAATTCCTGTTGAAGCCATTCAGTATTGTTTCCATCTAAAGGAATTTTCATTACTTTTATTGAATACAATATTGAATCCAAATTGACATACATTTTATTCTTTCAAAGGATTTATTAATTGGCTTAACTTTGAATAAGAATATATTAATGTCTAAATTGTTTGCTTTTTATGATTGAAACTATAAATACATTTTATATTTGCTCTACGGGATTTTTTTAGGTTGGGATGCCTACGTTTTAAAGCGTAGAACATGTATTATATTCTGATTTAATAAGTTATTTTTTTTAGTGTAGTTTTCCTTGGCGACGTTAAGACTCAACACATCATGTATATCACTCCAGCTGCAGATTTTCGTTCATCATTTTTTATATACTTCATATATATAATAAGGAACTAAATATATATATATTTAATTCATCGCTTGTAATTTAGCTCTTAAGCTAATGCAGTACATACTATAGTTGTAAATACAATATAGTGAAAAAAAAATCCTGGCTATAACTAAAAAAAACAATATTTCCCGACTCGTAGAGGATTTGAACCTCCGCCCTCCGATGATCAAGTTTATACTATATCGGCGCTCTAACCTACTGAGCTAACGAGCCTTGCCGTCAGCAAGCAAAATGTGTTATATAATTCTAAATTTTTCTTGCATCATACAATTATGAACTATAGCGCATTGACATTGAATTCACTTTTGTGTTTTTGCACCAAGACTCACTTTTAAAATAGGTTGATGATTAGCCAGGTGTCAGGAATATAATTTAGGAATCAGATTCATTTATAAGAGTAATACTAAGAATAGCTGCTGCCATCGATTTAAATTTCGTGATTTTATGCCAAAAAAGAGTTTTATTTTACCGTTTACTACTTTAAAATTTTAACGAAGCATTTTGCAAGGGAGCTTTGAATGGTTTGATTTCTTCAGCATATTAGTTAGTTATTAGTTTTTTATCTAGACTAAGGGCGACACCAGAACACATATTTATTTTATTCCAGCTAATGCGAGATAACGGGCAATTACTTTTTTGTTATAAACAATTTAAGCTTGTTTAAAAGAAAAAAACAGTGGCGACACAACCCTTTGTCTTTGTCTCAGATTTATGTATTTGTTTCGTGACCATTTTATTTCTTAATAGGCAAGTAAGTTATATGCCTTCTGTGCCTAAGAAACGACTTCCACTTTTGGGTTGTGCCCGGTCATGATTCGAACGCACGATCTTAAGCTTGAGGGTCGCTCAAACCAAATCACAATACATTATTAAAGTTTCCGCAAATTGCCGCCCAATTATTGTTAAATATATGTCAACGTTGAAATATACTTGAATTCGTCTATGCGGTGATGTTAGTTGTTTCAACTATGTATTTGCGTATTGTTCCCACGAGAATGTAAGTACGTGCTCCTATTTCACCATGCCTCCTGCTGATAGAGGACAAATCTTGCAGCTCCTTACAAACGTTGTGTAAAAAAAAACTTGGCCATTAAAAGAGTGGCGAAGAGTTTATTGCCAGTTCTTCTCTTCCGATCTACGCCCTTGATTTGAGAAATGGCAGTAAATGTAAAATTAGAAGCATTTAATGAATATTTCGTTTTTGACGTTCATAAGGGTACATTGTGTTACCTACATGAATAAATGATTTTTGACTTTTATACGACACACAAGAAAATACACATCAAATTGTAAAAATTCGGGTATCTTTGTGTTAATAAATATATGTGTAGGTACATAGTATGTTTTTTACTACCTGTAGTCGCGATACGTAGTGAATAAATACTCCATGGTATCAACGTCCTTTATAGACTTTAGTAAAAATTAAATGGCTCGATATTACAATGTTTTATAATATTGTTAAGAAGACTATTTAATATGTAAACTATTTTATATCTTCTACACACGTCTACATCTGTTCTCCATGGAACTACAGTGAAATGAATTCAGTACTTCAGTAGTTCCATTATCACTTTAATTATGATTTGAAACATTATTTATTAATATAGATAAAACATTAACCAATAATTATAGGCCAGTCATTATAGACATTCGAAATCGAAAATTTGATAATAATTCCAAAAGTTTTCAAACTTCGGTCAAGTGAATGGTACATTGGGACGACAATAAATCTCATTTTGCAACCTTGTCCGCAGTCCGGGACATTGTTAAAATTGCAATTAAATTAATTTTTGCTGTATGGTCGTGAAAAAAATTCCAAAAGTTCTGCAAACTTGGGGAAGTTATCGATATAATATTTCATATCACGTATAAAATTTGCAACCAACCTAAGTGTACGGAACATTTTTTGTTATTTATTTTATTTTCGATATATCTGTCAAATTTGCAGAACTTTTGGAACGTTTTCCTTCAGTTTAATAAAGAAAAACATTAATTTTTAATAACAAAAAATGTTCCGTACACTTAGGTTGGTTGCTAATTTTATACGTGATATGAAATATTATATCGAAAACATCCCCAAGTTTGCAGAACTTTTGGAATTTTTTTCACGACCAAAACTTATTTTTAACAATGTTCCGGACCGCAGAGCAGGTTGCAAAATTTTATAGTTTGTTTTAATACCACTCCCGACCTTACATCAAAATTTGAAAACTTTTGGAATTATTATGAATTAATTGTCTTGACTGACTGGTCTATTATGATTCTAAAATTATTATTTTCAATGACGTTACCTATGTTACACAGATTAGTTTGATATAGAAATGTAATGTCATATGTCAAGCGGCTGTCAATTAGCAACGTATATGTCAAATAACCTGAAATGTGAAAATTCCACATGAGAATCATATTATTTACTATTATTTTTTGTTTATTCGATGTGATTTGTAAGTTTGATTTTTATTTTTTTATATGATTTTGTTACCCATATTTTTGTTGTTGCGTGTTCAGAAATGAAACTTCTAATTAACTATATCTGTACTAAACATTTTAAAATTGTATATTTTGTACGTTTGTGACAAATGAACTTAAAATTTAATGGGCCGATTTCTTAAATTCTTGAGTACCATAGGGTATATTGTTTCCGAAATAAAAATTTCCAATCGTGCGAAACTTAGACTAGTGTTTGATATTTTCATTAATAAAACTTGCCTTTATTCATTACAACTATATCAGTTTAATTAAACTATTTTGACATTAATAGTCATTTTTATATGGTAGCAGTGATAACTGTGTAATAAGACCTTATGTTATTAATAAAGTTACCTGCCACCACTCATTATAAATCTGCTATTAAAGGAAGATAGGATTAATAAAAATAGGTTCGCTGTCTATATAACTTTTTAGGAATCAAAACGTTATGTCCGCAATTACGAGTTCAATATTCCAACGCCTATTTCAATTATATTTTTTGTCGGAAATAAGGCTTGTGTTCCCGAATAAAAACATCATTTAACATATTTGTATTTTATTTTCCTGGCATTCTAGTCTTGTTACCTTCGTTAATCAACGGTAGATATGAAATGTTTCATGATTTTGTTACTTCACACACTTCCTCATAAACACGTATGTTTTAAATAATTAGCATTACTATGGCTTTAGTTATTAAGTAATTTTATTTTTCATGTATCCATCTTCAGGATATGCTAAATGTTTGATAACTTACACAGACTCAAACTACTATGAAGAGGCGAAAAAACAGCAGGTCACTGAGGAATTTGAACCAGTTACAGTGTCAGTCAAGAACTCTCTATCCAAGAACATAAACTGCGATGATTTTTCGTTATATGCACTTAATTGTACGACGGAGGCTGCGCTTGTGTATGATTCGAGTCGGATGACGCCACCAGTACCATCGAAGCTAACCGATTGGTGTAGGTGAGTGTAAAGATATATCATCGGTGTCGGGAATTTTCATGAGGGATTTGACTTATTTCACAGTAAGAGTACCTGTTTGCGCTAAATCGGTGTCAGTCAAAGAAGGATGACAATTGTCGGTTTTGACTTTGACATGAGCACGGAAATGGCAGGGGGTGATCCGGCGTAATGGCGCCACGATGATTTGTTAAATTTTAACCGCTGTCGCGTGCGCTAACTATATACCGCATTTTCTTAACCATTATTAAAGGATCCAGTGCTTGGAGTGGGACACACCAGCGTTGATGGTAAATGGTAGTCTTAGTCATCGATTATTGGAATCCTTTTTTTATACTGACACGCGACAGCCGAACCAGCGCATAGTATTATACCGAGGGAAGGGAGCATCCTGGATATAGTACCTAAAACGCGTTCTTCATTTGTTAATTTAAAAAAAAATACTGTGGTGTCTCATCTATAAGCACGTATACACTAACGTTTTAATTATTATTTTCTGTAATAAATATATTAATGAACCTTGAGCTAGGTTTTCGAGCATCAGCCTTTATGTGGATCGATATTTGATTCATGATTAAACCGGGTAGACGACATGCCTGGTTACCGTGATCATTTCTCTTTAGGAACAGATTATTCTTCCAAACAAGATACATGTCGATATTTTCTATTTACTAGCAAATGATAATTGAGTGTATAGAAAATCGATTAGTACATGAATGCTCAGAGGGTTGAGAATTACTCGCTTTATGACTAAGATTTTACCGTTATTTTTTGGGAAACGGGATACTCTTTATTAACAAAATCCCAGAGGCTCTTTCATCTCTGCCGTTTAATAAATTTAAGAAATGTATTACAGAAAAGCTGTGTAAAAAGGCTTACTTTAAAGTTAACGATTACCTTTGATGACTTCTTTAACACATTTTTTTTAATGTTATGAAGAAGTATGTTTTTATCGAGAGCTAATCAAATCCTACTATAAACACTTTAAGTACCTTTAAAAGGGACTTTAAACTATTTTACGGACATATTAAGCTTCCTTTAAAGCTAAAATCTAGTGTTACTCCAAGTGCTCGTAAATAGCTGGTTAAGAGACCTTTCTCGAAAGCAGACACCTAGACTCCGAGATTTTCCTTAAAATGGTAGTATATTTTTCTTCTATCTCATATTTGAATCACGAAAAACAAAACTATGTCTCGTGCCTTATATAAAAATTTAAATCAGTTTGTCCTGTATGCATATTATAATTCAGTATAATGATTAAGGGTTCTTCTCTAAAATATTGTGGCTCGAAGGAAAGAATTTTAATAAAATAAAAATAAAATATTATGGAACATAAGATACAGTTACATTAAATTTGAATCTGTAGGCATCCCTACTCATCGGCAAAGAAGACAGAGGGTGTAGGCCGAGAGAAAAAGCCGGCGTAAAAAACTCTCGGTAAAATAGCAAATCATCAAAAAACACTTATGTTACAAATATCGCAAATTAATTAAAAGTAAGCGTGTAAAGCCTGTCTAGCACTAGTCCCAGGCCCTTTTAACAACTAGATAATCGTTAACTTTATAGTAAGCCTTTTTACACAGCTTTTCTTTAATACATTTCTTAAATTTATTAAACGGCAGAGATGAAAGAGCCTCTGGGATTTTATTAAAGAAGAGTATCCCGATTCCCAAAAAAGAATTACTAACTAGATTTATTATATTTATACTAGCTGACATGGCAAACGTCGTTTTGCCATGTATATCATTTATAATAAAAAATAGGGTTTGATCGTAGATGGGTGAAAATTAGGGGTTGTATATATTTTTTAATGCTGTATCATAAAATAATAAAACCTTAGGGGTGGACTACGCTTAACATTGATGTAAGATGAAAAATAGATGTTGTCCGATTCTCAGACATACCCAATATGCACACAACATTTCATGAGAATCGGTCAAGCCGTTTCGGAGGAGTTTAACTACAAACACCGCGACACGAGAATTTTATATATTAGATTAGATTATTATTACTAGACATAATGTGTTAATGGCGAATTCCATGAAGCTTGTATTTTTACTAGGCGACAGACAGATACACAAGAAAGTAAATAAAAGTCTGGGCCTCAGATTTCTGAATCTGTTTCATGATCATTTTTAAATCTAATAGGCAAATAGGTGATCAGCCTCCAGTGCCTGAGACACGCCGTCGACTTTTTGGGTCTAAGACATCTCGGTTTCCTCACGATGTATTCCTTCACCGTTCGAGCGAATGTTAAATGCGCACATAGAAAGAAAGTCCATTAGTGCACAGCCGGGGATCGAACCTACGACCTCGGGGATGAGAGTCGCAAGCTGAAACCACTAAGCCAACACTGCTCTAAAAACCATGAAACTACACCAAAATCTCGTTAGCAAAATTATTATTCTTCAATTAGGTAGATTTACATTACTACTATTTAAATTTGCAACTTTGATAGCAAATCAAAGTTGCAAACTCAAAGCGTTGTGACTGTGAGTATTCATTGATTAGAGAGAAATGTACCAACGACTAAACCAAATAATTATAATATCGTATATAGATTGATGTCGTTATTAGTTCATCACTACACATAAGCTTTAACTATAACACGTTATTATATACGTTCCCATGCAATTTGATGCGTATTTTTTAAATAGATAGAGGGATTGAAGAGGAAGGTTTATATGTATAAAAACATCCATTAAATATGGATGGAGAAATACTGTTATTTTTGAGGTTAGAAACCATGTGATGTCGTAAATCGTAAAAAATTACATTTTTTCCGCTTACATTGCGAACCCTACGAGATTATCAAAGTAATGTACTAAGTATTGTACACATTAAAAAGGTCTACGGAAAACTCCTCGATGGTATATGTCTATCTCTTATTGATATCCCACAATAACATTTTTTTTTTAACTTACTTTTTACGACAAATAATGGCTAATTTTCAGAGCGATTTTAATTAATACAACATTAATCCTTATCCAATTAATACCTTAAGTACACAGTCCAAGTTGATTTAATATAGATCTATATGGCCCTTTACAGCATATGATTTAAATGAATATTTTCGAAGATATTACAAATTCAAAAATTGCGGACCCAGCGCGTCGGAGGCCGCGGTTCTCCCTATACTCTATAGCACTTTGAATTTAGTATCAGCATTGCATCCGTGCGAAGCCGGGGCGGGTCGCTAGTATATTAACGACGATTCCACGACTTCTAAAGGCTTCTTGAAAAGGCAATTTGTAGTCTTTGTATTGAATTTAATAAATAAGCCGTGATATTATCTACTCAACAATTTTCATGTAACAGTTTTAAAATGGATTTTAATTGATGTATGTAATATACATTTTTATGACGTAACGTTTGTTTACAGTTATACTTGAAATTGCTGCTAAATACAAATTTTCTGGGAATAATTCGGCATTTTGGCAGTGAACTTCGTTACAAGCACACGAAATGAAACAATACAACATGGACAAATCTATATGTGTCACAAATATTATTTAAATTAATGTTTACAATCTCTGTAGTTGAACGTTTGACGATAGGTCAAGAAAATTAATTATTTTCTTTTCTTCTCTATCTAGCTGGCTGGCGCGGTGATAGAAAGAATTCGACTTCTTAGTAATGATAATCAATTTATTTATTTATTAAAGTACACCACATCATATATAGCATTTTCTACAGTACATGTTACAATCTATCTATTCTAAAATACATGACAATTACGGTATACATAAAAAAGATACAACAAAAAAATTACAGTTCCGTCTACAAAATTTAGTTTCTACTAGTAGATACCCGATAGGCGCTTTACAACGCTTTGCGGAGGTGCCTGAACTCCTACTCGTTGGTTTTTACATACGATTGAACATAACTTGGAAGATTCTTCTGATGTTGAAATGAATAAGGGACGACAATGTTAATATTCTGCAAACATATTATTTATTTATTTGCGCATAAGTATTCCTTAAGCTACTCATTAAACAATATCCGAACAATTACATTATACACAAAAGCAAAAAACGGAATACACATTGAAACATAATTATAAAGCACAGTTATACAAAAAAATATATATTTATAATAAATGCATTGACCATTTTAATGTATATTTATTATAAAGGAAGAATAACAAAGCCATTATTAATAAAATATACCAGAGTTTTATTATTTACTTAAGATTATCTCTATCTAATTTATTTATAATCATTCATTTACAGAGCAATTAAGCACCTTATTAACTGCGCGTTAGATTGGAAAGTCGAATGCAATGTAGTGAGTGAAAGTCATTTCAATGAAGACAGCATACGGGGTCACATACACGTTGCCAACAACATCTGTGATGATGAGCTGTTTCAAATACGTGAGTGTAATGTAAATTAACGTGTCAAACATTATACACAAAATTGAATTATTTAAAACATATAAAGAAACTTGCTTGTATAATGTATATACCGAGGGATCCAACACGGCTTCGGGTGCCTGCATGTTGCACCGCGCTATATTCCAAAAATTGTTATGCCATGGCTATTTAATCACCTTCCTAGAAATTATAGATCGCTGCCATGTAATGTTTTCAAGGGGAAGGTGATTAGGTTTTTAAAAGCAAGGTGCTTTTATAGCGTGATATTTAGAACATAAGTTTAACAATTACTTATAAATGACTTGACTTCTTATTATGACATTTGCATGCCTATTTAAATATGGCTGATTGTGCGGATTTTTCTTGTTGTTCGATTTTTTTATTTTGTACCACTATCTTGGCAAATAAAGGATTATTATTATTATTAGTAAATTACCGCGTATTCGATTATATTTATCTTTTGCTCCGAATTTATTTAAGTTTGTAATGATGATTGACTGGCCTGCCCTTAAGCTTGGAATATTTGGCGATAGTTCTACCGAGACACTGGTTGTCAAGATGTTGCATATATTATACTCAAGTTGCGGGACTTTGATAGCGTAATCCTAGATAATATGTCTTCGTATTGATTGTAGCCGCAGATTGTGGGTGACGCTCGCCATCTAGATAATGCACATTTGACAGTGTGTAATAATACATTTAAACTATGACCTGCAGAAATCGCATTTCTATCGCAATATCTCAGATATTACGGATAAAACATTGTTAGATGTTTTGTATTTCAACTGTACATTCAAAGCTACAAGTAAACGCCTTGATTAACAAAAAGGAACAGGACGGTTACGGTGTATGAGATGTATGGTATGGTATGGTATGGTTTTTGGACTCGTTTTCCGTACTTAGACGCTCACTAGGTCCGTTGTACGTGAGCCCTGGCTTCACGGAGCGACCTCACTGTTCCGAGGATTTCTGTACGTTGTTTAGCCACAGCCTCGCATTCCAGGACTACGTGGGTGATTGTTTCCTCTGCGTTGAAACAGCCTCTGCACATGGGGCTGTCTGTCGCGTCTAGGACATAAAGGTGTTTATTAAGGAGGCAATGGCCCGTTATTGTCGCTATCATTGTTTTGAGGTTATTTCTGGTTAGGTTTAAAAGTTGCTTAGTCATTCTTGTCTTGATGACCAACGTTGGTGCTGGAGTTCCTCAGATCTCTGGCGAATCCATGTTCGCACTTGCGAGAAGGGCAAGGGTAGGAGCGGATACGGGCCAGCGGGCAACATTTCCGAGCCTCTCCTCGCAAGCTCATCGGCTGCATCATTGCCGAGAGATCCACTGTGTCCCTTTATCCACTGTAGGGTAACTCTGTTTGTCAGGGCTATTGCCTCCAGTGCATTGTGACACTCCAGTACCAGTTTACTGTTTGTCGTGTTGCCCCCCAACGCCATCAGCACAGACACGCTATCGGATACGAGCTTAATACAAAAGTTATTAACTCCTAACCGCTTTACGGCTCTGGCTGCTTCGGTTAGGGCAACACACTCGCATTGAAAAATCGAGCTGTGTGTGCCTAGAGGTAGGTGTGTTTTGATTTTGAGATCTTGAGAGAATATGCCAGCACCGGAGCCACGCCCTGTTTTTGAGCCATCTGTATGTATGAGATGTATGTATGTATTTTCTTGAGAATTTTTTTTTTGTTTAGTTATCATATCCCGTCAGCCATCCGTCATCTGTTTATATGTATTGTTTGTAATACGTTCAATATGTTCTAAACAAGGAAATAATAATAAAAAAATAAGCTTTGTTTATCAAAATCGTACTGTTCAAAATTATTGAAACGTTTACGTTTTGTTACTCATGGAAAATATAGATTATAAGAAAAGAAATTAATGATAAAAAAAAAATTAATACAAATATTTTAGTTCAGCGTTTAACGCGTGTTAGAATAAACAATTCTCCGACACTAAAAGTTAACACTCTATATTGTCTATAGTAATGCGTAATTTCGCTTACCCAAGCTAACCTTATTTCCCACAGGATACATGGAGTTATCAGCCTGTATAGAAAGTTCCCAGGACTCTTGGGAGGTGTGTTATAAAAGCTTTAAACACACTGTGGAGGAACAACAAAATACAACCCACGAATGGACACATTATGAAGTGCATTTTTACTTATGCTGGTTGGGATAATTTATGTATATGTGATAGCTTATAAGGGGCACATTGCCGCGTTTATTACAAGCTTATACGTGGCACATTGCCGCGTTTATTACAAGGTCATACGTGGCACATTGCCGCGTTTATTACAAACTCATACGAGGCACATTGCCGCGTTTATTACAAGGTCATACGTGGCACATTAGGTGCTTTAGCCTCGCTCGTAATCTCGCTGTTGGCCTTAAGGGTCTTGTCAGCTCATCTCGGGCTGTTTTGGCGGGATTGGCTTTTTCCCGCGACTAGGCCAAGGAGGTCTCTTGCAAGAACCTCGGCTTGGGCCGTCGCGGGGTTGTCAAACGCCAGAAGGGAACTGGTTAGGTGTTAAGGTTCTAGTGCTATATAAAAAGGGCAGCGAAATGAGCCTTAAAAAATGTTTATTGTACTAACAATTTGCAACTATAAATTATGACGAGTCAATGGTCTAGTGGTTAGTACCCCTGACTGCGAAACCATGGGTCCCGGGTTCGATCCCCGGCTGAGACGAACATCGATGTGATGAGCATTTGATGTTGTGCTTAGGTCTTGGGTGTTTAAATATGTATTTATATGTCTATCTATGTATAATATGTATGTATATCCGTTGCCTAGTACCCATAACACAAGCTTCACCAGCTTAGCATGGGACTAGGTCAATTGGTGTGAATTGTCAAAAAAAAAAAAAAAAATGTTATATATTTGCGCTAGAAATGAAAAATATAAGAAAATAAGTAGCGACACAAAGTCCAAGCCTTGGATTCAGATATCCGTTTTGTAATAATTTGTTTCTTTCTTAAAGACAAGTAGGTTCGGCTTTCTGTAGCTGACATATGTTGATTTTATATTGTATATCGGTCTCTTCAATGTATATATAAAACTCTATAAATTAAATCTTACACAGTTTTTTTTTTCAGTGCAAGGGCTAGATTTCGTAGGTGTACGCTCGAGTCGTTATTTGAAAAAGCAACAGCTTGCTCACATTTGGAAGCCATCACGTTGCAAAAGTTCTCCGTGATTGTTTCGGAAGGTGGAGTGTATCAGGTCAGCCAAATATTCCTTGGAATATCTTAAATGGGATAAGAGGGAAACGAGCAGGCGGGACTTTGAATAAAGTGCTAACCGCGGGTCGGACCTGAGTTTGTTAGTTTGTTGCCGATATTTGAGGGATTTTTTTAAGGCTCTTATTATGACATATGGCCCATCTCTCTCCCTTCAATCAGACTTGGGGCAGACCTTTCTGTATCTATTTCTAGAATTTTTCCACCAGAGAGATTTATGATCAGTCTTTGGTGCCTTCCATAACCTAACAATAGGGAGAAATAAATACACCTATTAAATTTATCAGTGGCGCTTCAACCTTTTTAAGTCTGGACCTCAGATTTCTGAATCCATTTCATCTAATCTAAAATAGGCAAGTAGGTGATCAGCCTCCTGTGCCTGCCATACGCTGACTTTTTTTGGGTCTAAGGCAAACCGGTTTCCTTACGATGTTTTCCATCACCGTCGGAGCGAATGTTAAATGTGCACATAGAAAGATATTCCATTGGTGCACAACCGGAAATCGAACGTACGACCTCAGGAATAAGAGTCGCACGCTGAAGCCACTAGGCCGACACTACTCACACAAACACAAACACTCTTATGACTCAAAGTTACCATAAAATAAACAATCAAAGTATTCGTACTACTGTAAATTGAAAATATTATAGTTATAATCCAGACATAAAACTTAATTTCAAAAGGATTAATACAATTCATTCAAAGCCAAAATGTTATTAATTTTCCACACTGTTTATATATAATCTATAATGAGCAATGGTGGCCTAGGATTAAAACCCTCGCTTTATTTTACTCTCAAATGATAGAAAATATTTTCATGAAACTAATAACATACCTAGACCAAAAAATCTAATAATGTCGGGAACAGAAGACTATCTAAAAGATAAATGGTATAGAAATGTCTATATTATACAGCATTTACTTATAAATAAATATAATGTTAAAACATGAAGTTGACGACTCATTGGTCTAGTGGTTAGTACCCCTGACTATTCATGGGTCCCGGGTTCGATCCCCGGCTGAGATAAACATCGATGCGATGAGCATTTGGTGTTGTGCTTAGGTCTTGGATGTTTGAATATGTATTTATATGTATGTATATCCGTTGCCTAGTACCCATAACACAAGCTTCACCAGCTTAGCATGGGACTAGGTCAATTGGTGTGAATTGTCTTAAAAAAATAAATAAATAAGAATTGGTTTCCTATGTTATAATATTTTAATTTGATTGACATTATCGTTTACAAAATTTTAAATAACTTGGTAGATTTACGAAATGTTTTAATTCAAGTCATTTCCTCTTAAAGACAAACACATCAGTCCGTTTTTACGTTCGGGCAGTGAAGACCAACGTCGGTTGTAATGCTCCTCTAAACAGATCGCTATCTGCAGTAAACGACACTTTTGCAAAAAGCAGATCCATTTTATGATAGTCTCCATGTCTTCAAGCGTAAGATGCTGCAGCCACTGTTGATCCGTCAGGGGCCGTTCAAATATTAATTAAGCAGATTGAATGCTATTTATCCCCCCTTTCTCTTGTCAGAAATAAGCAAAGCTCTAAAAAATAATAGTACATAAACGTATTAATTTTTTGTAGGAATCCTCGAAAATGTATTTCGTTTTCAAGCATAGACAATCTGTGGGTAATATGTGTAAAAAAGTAAATAATTTCTGTTGACGTAATCACCAAATAAGAAAATCAAAGACCCCCTTCCCCCTATAGTAGTTACGTAATATTTGAACGGCCCCTGACACCAATAATAACAATTCCAAAGTAGAAATATAATAAATTTTTAAATTTAAATTGCATAGTTTATTGTCTTTTATTTTTATTGTACAATATATATTGTCTCTTTTATCATTGCATTGTTTCCCTTTAAATGTTGTTTTAATTTTTAGACTTACTAATAGGTGTATACGTAGTCGGTCCCAAAGTTCTGTCATAAATGGAAATAATGATAAAAACAAAAGTACTGATCAGTTTGTAATGAGTGATATATCAATTCTTAGTACATTAATTAAGGAATAAAAAAAGCATAAAAATATTCGAAATAACCTCCCTCATTTTTAATACAGGCCCTTAAGCGTCGCGGCCAGTCGTCTATCGCAGCACACACCATATTCGTGTCGATTTCAGTCACTGGTTTTTTTAAAGATGACTTCAGATTCTCCAAATTTTCATGAGGTTTATCACAGACCTTCCTCTCTAAGCCCTGTCATAATTTCTGGTCCAAAGGATTAAGGTCCGGACTGGAGGAAGGCCAATCCTCATGTCTAATTAAGACGATGTTTTGACGCTCAAACCAGGCTTTAGTGGTCTTGGCTTTGTATGCAGACGCAGAGTCCTGCTGGAACACGAAGTGATGTCCCGCAAATAGGGTGCTGGACATGTCTTTGACAAGGCGATACAAAACCGTCTCTTGGTACACTGTAGCACTGGTTTTGACCCCCTTTTCGAAAAAATTAACCTCAGTTAGCCCGTAATAGGACACTCCCAACCAAACCATTACTGATGATGGATGATGTCCATGTTGCACCCTTGGAACTTTATTTTCAGCTTCTTCAGAACTCCTAGCGTACACTGTATAATTCTGTTTATTGTACTTCTCTTCAATATCGAAAAAATTTTCGTCCGTAAAGAGGATATCACGGTGTCGGTTTTTCGCGTACCGCTTAAACAACACCCGCGATCTCTTAAGCCTTATTGCTTTTAGACGAGCATTAAGTAAGTGCCCACTCTTTTTTGTATGCTCGTAGACCAAGATCTTCATTTAAAACCTTTTTTACTGTTTTCCTACTGACACCCATCTGCAAATCCATCAACTTCTGTTTTCGGACAGGATTTCTTACTATCCGCGCCTTGATAGCTTTGATTACTGCTGGTGTTCTTGCGGAGCGTGGCCAGCCAGTTCTTTTCTTGTCCTCAACACTGGAGACTTCAAGGTACCTATCAATAGTACCGTACACAAACCTAAGCGTTATATTCAAATTTTTGAGCAACTTGAAAATGGTACTCGGCGAGTGTCCACAGCGGTGCAACGCAATAACAACTATTCGGTTTACTTTCAATGTCCACTCCATCGTGAAAAATTACGGAAAGTTATTGTTTTTTGTTTTAAAACAATAATCAAACATTCCAAAATAGAATGCAATCATTTTTTTATAAAATCCTGCTCGAAATGTAGAAATAATGTGCTAGTGACAGAACTTTGGGACCAACTACGTATATGTTGTTTATTTTTCAGGACTGCGACAGGAATATGATGTATCCTAATTGTCCAGGAGGAGATCCAAGGCCCACCCATAAATTAATGAGCCATCTGGTCTCTGGCAATGCCAGTATATCAAACAATAATATGTGGTTACTTGTTTTTATATTATATTATTTCATATGAAGCAATTATATTATTCTATGTATAAAATATTTTTTATTTCCTTATGTTTGTACAAAGATCTTAAATATTATCAAAGTATCATGTATTCATGTACCTAGGCAACTCCATGTACACTAATGAACATCAATTAAAAAGGTCTCAAACCAAGGGCGTAGAATAGAAGATAAGAACTAGCAATAAACTCTCCATCACTATTAAATCGCAAAGGGATTTTTGCTAAATGTTTATAAGCACCTGCATCCATTACACCGTGCTCCTCATCGCGACGTAAAGCAGTTAATTATGATAATGAAAAAAAAACAAACGTTTCATCTTTATCAGCAAGCTATTATAATAATAAATCAAAATTCATTTGAGAGTTTTTTATAATTCTTAGTTTGAAAGTTACACCCACGTCTACACTAAAGCGCTATCCACACATTTCCGGGAACTCGTCCCGGCCGTGTTCCGTCAGGGACGGGTCACCACGGGTGACACCGCCGCCTGACACGGAGCTGTGTGAACAAGTTCATACAATTTGTACGTAACCGATTTTTTCCCCGTCCCTGACGGAACACGGCCGGGACGAGTTCCCGGAAATGTGTGGATAGCGCTTTAGGGTCCTTTAATTTAATTTAAATTTAGGGTTTTTTAAATTCCACTTAGGGTCCTTCTAGAAAAGAGCGTACCAATTCTTAAAAGGCCGGCAACGCACTCGCGAGACCCTTTGTCATTGATAGTGTACATGGTGTGCCCCCTGTTCTATATAAAAAAATAATAATACTAAGTTATATCCACCAAAAGCAGCACTTAAAATGATTTTTTAAACTTAAAATCAATACCTAAGTTATAGAATAGTTAATGAACAAATTAAATTTTTAAATGAATCAAACAGAGAATAAGGATGGCCTACTTGGCGAAAGATTATCTAAATAGAAGAATGTCTTTAAGTTTGAAAAGACGTATTGACTATTAAACCGGTATGAAATCCTCGGATGCTATTCTCAAGCGTTCTATTCAATATAGTGTTATCAAACATTCTAAAATCGCTGACTAAGTCAATAGACAACAAAAGCGTGGCTTATCCATTGAAAGTAGTCCTTGATAGGTTTTTGATGATAACTGTCTATTCATACCGTAGTACTAATGCACTGACCTGATTCGCTGTTCGTAATGAGTTTTGCACTTTTGATATGAGGGATAATGAGATGGCTCAAATGTCTTCTGGGGAGTTTCAGCTGTAGAAATTGTTTTGTGAATGTAATTACTATTTATTTATTTTTTATTGATGTTATATCGATTTTAGAGTCGAATTTTGGATCTGTTTCGCTATGTATTAAATAAGAAATTAAGTAAAAGCTAAATTTTGGGGTTTCATTGTTTTTCGTCTCTTTGCGTTTTCTATAAAGTATACTACGGAGAGTGTTCGGATTGTTTGGGTTGATCCCTCCTGCCTCTTTTCAACACCGTACGAGCCGTACGAGCTCTAAATTTCACCAACATCATCTTGATGGTTGGAGGTCTTCCACAGTCCGTTTCACAAGGCATTTTCTTTTGCGAACTAGCGAACTGTGGAATCGACTCCCGGTGGCGGTCTTCTCTCAGAGAAGTTTATAAATCGAGTGTACTCCTCCCTCA